GTGTTCATCCAGCTCTACACCTTGTTATCTCAGATTCTCCAGCATCTACAGTTGCTACTATCTCTGGACTGATCCCCAGCTGGTAAGCCAACAGGAACGAAGCTTAAAGGTGCAGACAGAAATCACAAACCTCAATTGTTATAAAGATGTGCTATGTAAAAATTAATCTTTAAGTTCATTGACTGGTTTCACATATTAAACTTTTTGAAATGGACATTGTGAACTTAAGATGGTTGCTCGATTTTCTTGCAGCTTCAAGCAACAAGTCTCTGAAAGTTTCCAAATTGAATTATAAAGGGACATACCAAGACAATCCTGGGGAATTTTACAATTGGTTGTATTAATGACTATTCCAAGCAAAATGGGAACACTTCTCTGACTGATAGACTCAATGCCTAATATGGTAAACAGAATTCCATTGACACCTTTATTGGAAGAGAATGCAAATCTGTCTAAAGGAATCAAATGTTTCAGGTCAGATGAGGAGGCAGGTTACCCAATTACTTGATGACCATGATACATTATTTTGAACCATGACTTTGCAGTTTGAAAGCTGGCCACTTGACAGCAGCTACCTTTACTACCAAGTATAGAAAGGCAGGGGAAGCTGCTCTCTTATTATAATGCAGCAGCAGGAGTGAGGAAAAAGCTGTTCCTCTCATGCCAGTTTAACAGCTGTGGTTTGAGTGTCCAGTCTTGTTCTGTGTTTACATTTCAGCAAGTGAATTCTACAGGAATAGCCTCCGAGTTTCCACAGCAACAACTCCAGAAGTGAAAGGGACACTCCAGCCACATCTTGAAAAATGTTAATCAATCAAAAACCAAAGACCTGCAAAATCTTACAGCTGGATAGACTGCACCTGTATGTTTTGTCAAAAATGTACCTACCTCTACTTTAATCTGTAATTGTGTGCTTGGGTTTCAATCACTTATTGCTGTTTGGGACTTAATTATCCATTTAATGATTGCACCCACATCAGTTTCAGAGTGATAAACTTGAACTTGACAGTACAGGTGGTGAAGAAGGATCACTGAACCCAAAACATCGTTTGCTCTCTCCACAAATGCTGTCAGACCTGTTGAGTTTTTCCAGAAATTTCTGATTTCTATCATCTGCATTTCTTTGATTTTTGGCATTTTTTTAAAAAAATGCCTGAGGATGGGAGAAAGGTCACCTAAACATAGCACTACTATAGATCCATCAATAATATGGTGAGTCAAGGAATCTATATAATAAATGCCAAAATTTCCTTTGTTTCAATGATTAATATGTAATCAATGGCACAATAGCATATGATTCACCGATTTAATTCGCTCCTTATGATATCAAGAAATAGTTGAAGACATCCTCAAAATGGGTGTTAACATCTGAATGTTTGTGTTGCCAGGACT